GGCAGCCGGGTATTAAAATTTGGCAACGCATCTGCAACCCTTAGGGTGTTCCTAATGTCCATTGCGGCAAATAGTGATTACTGTTTTACCAGAGTCAATGATTTTTCAGTCTCACACTAACCCTATAAAAACAAAAAAGATACCAATTTGTAAGAAACATAGAATTTAATTTGCTTCCATTTGTAAACTTTCATTTGGCATATGGAAGCGCTATATTTATCAAAGCATTCTTGCTCACGGATTGTCAAGGTCGGAGGTTTAAAAAATTGATACAACGTTTGATTATAATACTAAAAATCTTACACTATGCAACAATATCGCGCATAAAATGTTTAATCTAGTATCACAGATAACTTCGCAGTTTATCACATTCGAAAACGACAAACAATCTGCTTTTACATGGAAAATTGGATCATTTGCCTCGGTTTTCCCCATCCCTGACATAGTTTCGAAGGACGCTCTCTATGCGGGCGGATATTTACATAATGCAGTATGCTAGAATTAAGTAGTTAAATATAATAAATTATCGTATTTAATTACTTCATTTCAAAGCAAAGTATAATCTTCAAAATCTTTGTTGCTATATCTGTGAGCGCCTAAACGTGGCGTCGCAGGATGAATTAAATGCATGTAAAATTACTTTTCATTTAATATTATATAGTAGTCGCTATAGAACATTAAATAATTTTGAAAATCATATCCATAATACTATCTTCAACCGCAACCTCCTGCGTGAAACACATAATTGCGCTAACCTCAATTATTATTCTAATATTATGTATTCAAATGACGGGGCAAAATAATATCGATGTCCGTCTTCTCGTGACGATTAACATTTATGTAACATTCGTCTGTCCTCGCGCCCTTGTTAGCGAAGTAAGAAAACGCTAAGAAGTACCTATGTCAAAAGTTTGCAGCGTACTAGCGGTACTAAACAACTAGGGTTGCCAACTGATTTGAGAAAAATAACGTACCACATTTTACAAGTAGGGAAAAAAAAAGTATTTGGAAGAGAAAAAAAGTATTTTATAATTATTTTTATATTTATTATTTATTTCTTCTCTGGAAGACTCATTTTTGTTTTTCGTTGTACTTAAAAAGAGTAAATACTCCTCAAATCGGGATAATGAAAAACTGTCCAAAAATAGAGTATTTTTACATGCTTCATTTTTAAAAGTATAAAGTATGTTTGCCAAGAATAAAGCAAGATACGTTTTTGTAAAGTATGGTTGGCAACCCTATAAACGACAATCGTATATGGTTTACGGCACGATGTTACGCCACGAAAGCGAATACAAGGCGCCTGCACAAGTTCTATTTACACAAACGTACTACTAACACCTTGAGGAGTGTTAACGATATAACGAATAACGAAGTGTTACACTACAAGCACAGCGTAAGAAAGGACGTAAGTTCATAGACTGTGCTATACGTCTAGGGGCTAAGACTAAGACGTTGACCCGCGCTGTGAGACCGTAGGTTTGAATCTTATTAAAGTATCTTTAACAGCCTATAAAGGCCACCTCCGTACTGAGGGACTACCCTCAGTCACGCGAATTCGCATATCTTCATAATTATATAATTTATTTCGAAAATATACAGGCTTCCTCACGATGTTTTCCTCAACCAGTGATAAATCTGAACCTAAAATTTGTAATTAACAATTTCATTGGCGCTTGACGAGGTTTGAACTCGGGATGCTACTTGTCATCCGTGTAAAAGAAAAATAAACTAATGAATAAGACAACCAAATAACATTGGCAACATCGGGTAGGCTTTTAAAGACAAATAAATTGTCTATTTAACCAATTGATGTACGCATTAGCTGTACAGTATGTTAGTGACAGTATGATAATAACATTCAACGTACTTGGTACACACGTATTAAATGTTGTCGTTGTGGAAAATAATATGTTTATTTAACATAACTCATAAACATGTTCAAGATTTAAAAGTCAATAATTATAATATTTTACATACATCGTACTTATGATACTTTTTTAATTTTAATTTGTTCATGACTTAACACAGAAACACATTATTCGTAGATTAATTAAAAAAGGACCTGGCGGCGTCGGATCGTAAAAGATGAAAATCCCCAACCGTAATTTCCCCACCTCCGTCGTAAAAATATGCGATAAACAACGGACTTTTTCGCGTTCGCAGTGGAATAACCGTCACGGAATACGTCACCGGCTATGGCGCAATTCCTACCTCTCGGGCTATGACGTCACTGCCGCAGCGTCCGTCGCTATAATTTGCTGTTTCGTTCCAAGTGAAAGCTTCTCTTACTATGTACAGAAGTAGTGTGCCATTTTTATGTCAAAACAATTTAGTGATGTTCGTCAGTTGAAATAAATATTCCGTTACATACAATAAAAGTAAAAATATAGGTGAAACTAATATAAGCCTGTTAATATAAAATAATAAAAAAAAACTTGTAAAGGAACGTTTGTGTGTTAAAGGCCGGTTATTATAGTATTGGATTTGATTATATTTTGAATGATAAAAATTAATAAAAAATTCAATCCCTCTATTATGTTAAAAATATTAAGATTTGCTGTGTACCACCTGCTAGGAATGCTGCTAATTATGACTGCATGAAACGCCCGGCCCGGCCTTGACCCAATTGTTCTTAATGCCAAGACCATCTTCCATTTGCTTTTTGATCCCGATATTATAACATTCGTCAACTGTAGTTACGGCAACAAACAGTCTCGTTTTATTATACAACTCAAGGTGTAACAATAGTGGATGATAATTATTATAATCGTATAAATTTTATTCAATTTTTTTTTTCGTGTTTAACGTGGAATAAATAAAAAGCACGAATGAAACAGAATGAAACAAAAAAAGCATATTTTCAATCGTCTTCAAAAACGTAGAGGTTTTCAATTAGGTTATTTTTTTGGGGTACTTCGGAAATCCGTCATTGATAAACCGTTTTTAAAAATTCTTTTTGCATCGGGTAAGCTTTTACTCCCATGTGGTCTCATATTTCAGTAGAATTCGACCTTGAACTCCGGAGATACATCAGGGAGCTCCTTAAAACCAGATGGAAATGTATATTGATCGAAATATTTAAAGTCCCTCTTGTTTTTTGTTACTTCAATTACTAAATTTAAATTTTTTCAAACACTACATTATGCATATTGCTGCGTCTGTATGTATGTATATTGATACAGCTTCTATGACAATTGTCGTACGAAACGATCCGGCGGATTGTGTAACAGTTTGAGAGGAGCTCGTCAATTTACCTTACTACGTCTTAACTACCGCGTATTCGACGTTGTCTACAGCCCAGCTGCTGTCGTCAATGAACTGACTCATTCGTACGCAGTTACACGAACTAGATCCTCGGGAACAGCGAGCGGATATGCTCAAGAACATCTTATATGCAGCGATCGCTATTTGACGTGGAATACATGAGCAATTTAAAGTTTCAGTAGTATTTTCCAACTGGTGATTCATTTAAGCGTTGAGATCAATCACTAGAATCGTCACTAGAAAGCTCATTGAACGTTTATGTCTTATCTTAAGATGAGAAGATATATACGGATTAATGTAGACAACAACTTTGAACTATTCAGCACTGGCGAAACTTATGGAGCACAGAAAATTAAATTAATTAAAAAAAACAATATCAAATAAGATAATATTGGAGAGTATTTATTTACCTTTCCTACAAAAACGAAATATAAAAAAAGTGATTTTGATACGAATAATAAAACTAATGGTTGTTAGAAAATAATTATTAAACTTTTAAAAATAACCAGGCATTTAAAGTCGTTTCCGCATAATTTCGCCAAATGCCGAGTTGGAAAATCTTCATGAGTTTATATCTCTAATAATAACGTAAACAAGGTCGAAATGGATTTAAAAAGAGTATGTTATTTTCTACATTTATTTAGTAGTCAGTCGTTAAAACCTTTTTTTTTATCTTCTTAACGATGCATTCCCAGACAATACACGCAACCACCTGTGACGTCTTAATGAATTCTAAATAGGCGCCATTTACTTGGACATATTGTATCTGTTATGAATGTAAAAAAATCTGCCTGCAATACGAGGGACATAAAAACGCACGTGATTTTACTAAGCTTAAAATAAACATTATATTCCGACTGTACTCAATGGCCGTGATAAAAATTCGTTTTCTCATTCCTATTCGTGGCGACGTTTTAGCTAGTCTTTGTTAAAATTATTGTCTTTGTTGTAGCCGTATTGATTAAAAACGCTTTTTCAAACGCAATTTGTCGCCACATAATTAACTTTTTAAATAAAGATAAATGCAACTTTAGTGCGAATCATAACCGTTGTTTCTCATCGTTATCGCATTTCATGGTTTCGTCGTGCATGCATTAAATTAAGAACAATAGATGATATATTTTATAGCTTTAAGTGGTCTGTGCTTTCTTAAATTATGCCCATGAATTAATTCGTGTCGACCTTATTTTCCTGTATTTTGTATTTAGTTTATGAGTCTGGTTAAATTGACACAAGATTTATTAGACTTCTTAGCTGCACAACATATAATAGTCGTCAACTTAATGTATTTATAACTTTAATTGACTTGAAAATCACACAATCTTCACCCTCTATGAGCAGATACTTTATCACATATCATTTGCACAGATTTTGATACCTTCATAAAGCCCGAAAGGAAGACAAATAGCGAAGTCATGTTTATAATATAATTTCGAGCCATATTTAAAATGTTTCGATGTAAACATTATCCTGTGTTTATAAATACGTTTTACAAACATAATTCCGTCGGATGAGGTCAAAATATTTATTGATTATATTCATTTTGGTATTAATTAAGTATATATTATAATCGTATATCATTTACTATATGGTATTTTATGTACAGACGTATGTTTATTTTATTTCTCACAAACATGACACTCATAAATGCACAATGAAGGCATAGTCAATATTTTATGCGATGTGAAATACGGTTGATGGACGAGTATTTATTTTGCCATGTTTGTTTGCAGGTCGTAGAATGCAAGGAGAAACGCACCGGCACAAAGCGTGCGTTGAAAGTTTTACACGACAGCGCCAAAGCGAGACGGGAAGTCGAGCTTCATTGGAGAGCCAGCGGCTGTATTCATATAGTCGAAGTGAGTCTTCTATTGTGTTTCGTTTGTCCATCTTCCGAATGCAGAAGCGAACATCTTACCACAGAACCTGTGATGCGGCATCACAGGTTCTGTGATAAAATGTTCGCTCTATTTAAACGGCCACAGTCTATCTGGAATTTTGATCGATTTCGAATCGACTAGAATTTTGGTTCGTTCGGAATCGAATCAATTCGTGATGCATTAGTTGAGGTGAAACCGTCACTTTTTTTTTTTTCAACTTGCTAGGTCCACCCAAAAGAGATTTTGTCCTGACAAAATCAGTGGTGACAGACGGACGAACAAGAGAGTGAGTGATCTTACAAGGGTTCCTTTTTTACCTTTTAAGGTACGGAACTCTAAAAATACAGCATCCGCTACGTACTTCTAGAGTGCGTACGGAAGTGCGATCGAATTAACTTTAGTGCGCTTATTTCCGTGAATTTAATTTTGTGCAAAATCACTCCGTAATGAAAACTTGATCGTTAATGACTTCGTCACAATAACAATTTGTATATTAATTGGTGAAGCAAAGGTGGATCCTTTTTTAAATATGAGGTTTGGCATATTTAAATATTTTATGGAGAAATGCAGAATGGTAACATTTATACACAGTATACAGCTTGTCGTTACAACCGCGACAATAAATGAACACACGTCTAACGCTACTTGCCAATAATCATAAAAAATATAAACGTTAAAAAATCCATAATTAATTTTTTTTTTTCAAACAAACTAATTAAATAAAAAGAGATAAAATTTGTAACACTCCTATAGTTCCACAACTGACTGTTTCATACATTCAGAGACTTTTTCATTCGTTGCAACAACGTCGCATTACAAGTCTCTCCTTCTAACAGTATGTTTTATCTCTTTTAATTTCATTTAACCAATTCCTAATTATGCTTTGTGACCTTTACAAATGAACTTTACGTTACAGTTTTAAACGTAAGGTTGTCCTAAAATTGTTTGTTTTGGAAAATTTAATAACTGTAAATATTGATGTTTAAAGAATGTAGGTAAATGCATAATACAATGTTAAAAAGTTATCCTCTATATGTGTGTTCATTTATTGTCGGGGTTGTAACGACACGCGACATGAAATGAAACAAAAATCCCAACTGCTTTGAAACTGTTGACTTCTAAATTTTCATCAAATACGGTGTCCGAGAAAAAACATTGTTTCTCCCACAACTGAGACGAATCTAATGACACCTCATAATTATGTTGAAATCCGTAAAAAGATTTCAAGATCGCGTCAAACAATTGTACATACATACATAGGCTCGAAAAACGTTACCCTCATTTGGCAGTCGGGTAACGAAGTGGAAATACACATACATTGTTTACGATCGTCCCGTCAATGTCAGACACGTAATAATTTGTTTTGAAATAGTTGCACAGAGTAAACATTGATGACAACAAATAATTTCAAAAGGTCAGATTGATCGAGTCCGGAGAAAGTAATTATTCATTATACTTAAATTTATAGAATCACGATCGAATTTTGACTAATCGACGTAAGTTATGTTTTCATCGACAGAAAGATAAGGTAATAGACGTAAGTTAAGACTACAAGTAATAGCAAATTATTGTATACTTTATTGCATACCAGGGGAACAAAACAGAGAATAAGTAATTCTGTAAAGACAGAATTCTGGCACGCGGAGCTAAACAATGATTGCGCAATGAGATATAACCTGCCTAACATTGTTTACAGTCTGGTATTGTATTTTAATCGCTCATTTAATCACTTACCTATATATAGATTTACGGTGTTACAGTTTAGCAAATTTAAATAATGTCAAAGTCATATATAGTTGTATGGTTCACACATTTTATTTCAATAGTAAAAGAACGCTTTGCAGCAGGGAATGAAAAAGTTTTTTTGTCCTTCCTGTAAACTGATACTTAACTTTTACTGAAAACTGATACTTAATTTGTTGCATGTAACATGACGATATAATGTTTAAACGGTGGTTTAAACAAACACACAGGACAATGAACGAATGTATCGTTTTTTTTTTTTCATAAATTTGTTGACGTCGGCATTTCAGTATAACAGTGTAACATCCAAAATATAATCACTTTTTAATATTAAAATGCTTCGCGTAAGTCGAACTTATTCGGATTTGTCTTTTCTACCCGAAATTGTGGAGAAGAAAATTTATTGTGTACACTCAGATGAATCCTCTGTTTATTTTCCTCAAATCCCAGATTTCAATGACTTATCTAGCGAATCTTAAATAAATAAATAATAAATAAATAAAAATATCTTTATTCACATAGACGCTTGCGCGTTCTTATGAAACGTCAAAATTTTACAAGAAATGAACACGTTCGTAAGTTACCACCGGTTCGGAAAGCAGTTTCTGTTGAGAAGAAACCGGCAAGAAACTCAACAGTTGCTCTTTTTAAAAAAAAAATCAGTTTACAATATAATAGTACATGTACAATAGTCTTGTTTTAGCCTACGTGAGTATCAACAGTATTAACCCCACACATTGGCGTCGTCAAGATATTCAGCAATAGAATAATAGGCTTTAGCCATAAGTTTACTTTTAATTTTTCGTTTAAATTCATCAAGTGGCAGACTTAATATCGACTGTGGGATTTTATTATACATGCGCACACCTTGCCCCATGAACGACCTGTTTACTTTTTGTAAACGAAACAATGGCGTAGTTAGTTTGTCGTTATTTCTAGTATTTAGTTTATGTCTGTCACTATTCTTTAGATAACTATTAATATTATTTTTAACATACAAAATGTTACAATAAATATATTGAGACGCAACAGTGAGTATATTAATCTCTTTAAAAAGGTCTCTGAGTGTATTCCGGGCTCCGATGTTATAGATTGCTCGGACAGCTCTTTTTTGAAGAATAAATATAGAATTTATATCAGATGCACTACCCCACAACAAAATGCCGTAAGACAAGATGCTGTGGAAATAACTGAAATAAACAAGTCTGGCAGTGTCGATGTCTGATAGCTGCCTAACCTTCCTAACTGCAAAAACAGCGGAGCTTAACCTGTTCGCAAGAGATGATAGATGGGGACTCCATTGGAGCTTTGAATCCACTGTAATTCCCAAGAATACAGCGGACTCAACAGGATTAAGGGTTACGCTATTTAATGTTAAGCTAAAACTTCGCCTTCTTACGCTGGGAAGGGTAAAAAGAAGGCATTTAGTTTTTTTAGCATTTAACACCATATTATTAACGGTAAACCAGTGGAGGATACGCGAAAGTGCACTATTCACGTCGTCATAATCCGACACGTTTCGGTCAACCTTAAAAATGAGCGATGTGTCGTCAGCAAACAGTACAATATCACATAACTCACTGGCTTTCACTTAACGTTTATTGTTATAAGCGTGGACTGTTTTTGTAAACAGTTCGAAGGAAAAACGGCGGTTTGTTTTCGTAGTCGTCGAACTATGGGAATTGTTTCGAACGCGCTTTCGGTATCGCTTGCATAGTTTAAGATTAAGAGCAATCAACTATTTGCGGTTCCGCCTTTTACGCTTTGGCATTGCCGCCGATTTCGCAGTGAATTCCCCGAGTCTATTTAGTTCTGTAATGAGTGGAAGGTCCAGAAATTTCCTGTTTACACGCGCACTGCTATGCCGTTCGCCGATCTACGTTTTAACTATTCGTCAGAAGCGTCCCATTACTGGGAACTCCACGATGATATAGTTTATCTGTAACTTTATTTATAGAATGAAATTATAAATCATTAGTTGATCCATGCGAAGTTTACCAAACGGTATTATAATGATGAGCAAATATGTATTTATCAATTAAAGGTGTCTTATTTAGAAGGATAACGTTCAATTCACTAACGTTATCATAGATTCTTTATAACAAGTTTTTAAACGAAAGTTTTGTATGAAAACGTTAACTTTATTCTATTTGCATCATCAATTACTAAATTTGATGAAGTATTAAGAAGTTATGACGTTCTGATAAAAAACCTCTTTCAGAAATAATTTATACTAGAGACAAATAGAATCCATCCCAATAACGCTTCCCGGAACAATTTTTAAATGCCTCGCAGTATGGTCATGCGTCATCTTTAGTGAAACATTATTGGTGAAAGATGTATGTTCCTGTGTGTCTATGGAATAGAACGTAATCGTCCTAACAGGAAACCGTTACGTAGTTTTCATAATTATCGAGACTGATTCAAAAGTCTTAGTTCACGATCACCGCCTCCAATCGGAAATTAACATGTGCCTCGTGCATTCCACGGCACATCACTAAGTCCGCCTCAGTCGCTATTCGTTTTTAATCTGCCATCGACACAATCGATTAAACGATTTCTATAATAGTCACGGAAATAACGGCTTTATTAACAGCCGGCATAAACGTTGATGCAAATTTTTATCGGAAAACTAATTGTGGAATGCGTTATGAATGCTATCGTAAAATAATAGCTACAAGTTTTAATTGATGGGGTCTTTGCAAAAATAAAAAAGTATGTTATAAATTAACTGCACCTCCAAAAATAATTTATTTGGCCAACTCATTGAGAAAAATAAAACCTGCCGATTGCTAATATGTCTTACATGTACTAACATCATCTGATAAGAAAATCTAAGCGACACTTGGTTAGGACACTGTATGTATATGTTATAAGGGAGTTTCGCACTGTTTTTTCATCTTCTATTGGTTATCATCTTTATTTGGTCATAACCATATATCTTCTCTAATACGCATATTTTATACTGTTTACGTACAGTTAATGTTAAAGGGAGTCTATGTTTGTATATCATCTCTCCCTTCCATTTCCTTTAGATGTATGAGGTTAAAGAAATTTATTCCCAACAAGACAATACAATGTCACTTACATGAGAATATTATACAATCATAAAATAATGTTATGGTCGCCAAACAGTTAACAGCTTTGTGTCTCAAACCGAAGGCGAAAAGTTATCAATTATGTATTGCGATAATTGAGACTTAAAACTGTTAAATACGGTTATTTTTTTTATATTAGTAGGTAGTCTATTGTATAGTTGAGCTCCTTCAAAGGTAATACTTTTTTTTGCATAATTTGTTCTTACTTTTGGTAATACAAGTAAGCTAGGACGACGAAGACTGCGTTTACTTATTTTTGATTTTGTTACAAATGATAAGTTAGTATGGATGGATTTATCTATTATTTTCCTAATTAGAATACAAGAATTGTATATATATAGTTGTTTAATGTTCATTAATTTTGTGTCTTTATAAATTTTGGATGTTGGCGTCATGTACGGGTAACGGAAAAGTATTTTAATTATTTTATTTTGCAATCTTTGAAGTTATTGTAATTTAGTTTTAGCAGCACTGCCCCAGATTTCTATGAGATAAAGTAAGTGTGATTTAACTAATGAGTTATAAATAGTGAAGCGCATCTTTCTAGGTAGACATTGAGAAATGTTGCAGAGAGAACCAGTAAGTGCTAATGTGATCTATTTGTTTGTTCCATGTTAAATAATTATCCATTATTAAGCCAAGGTATTTTTCGGAGGATTTTTGTTCTAAGGGAGAGTTATTAATTGTAAATGGATCATGTAATGGGATGATCTTATTTTTTGGTTTGAAGATAATGTAGCATGTTTTAGTAGTATTAACCGTTAGTAAATTATATTGGAACCAGTCAAACAAAAGTTTCAGGTCATTTTGTGCTCGTGAAATAACATCATTTATGTTAGCTCCAAAATAAAATAAACATGTATCATCTGCATATAAAGTTATATGACCATGTAACCCCAGTTCTGTTATGTTATTTACATATATTAAAAATAGGAGTGGTCCCAATATAGAACCTTGTGGCACACCGTGCGTAACCGGTAATGTACTACTTTGGGAATAGCCCATCTGGACTACCTGTGACCTATTTGTTAGATAAGATTTAAAAATTTTAAAGGCACTGCCTTTGATACCGATGCTTTCTAGTTTTTCTAATAGTAATTTGTGACTTACGGTATAAAAGGCTTTTTTCAAATCGATAAAAATACCTAAAACAATGTGCTTTTTATCAATGTTATCCTTTATTTTAGTTGTGAGATCTATTGTTGCGATAGTAGTGTTACTTTTGGCTCGAAATCCATATTGCCGATCGGATATAAAATTAAAGGAGTTTAAATAGTTGTTTAGACGATCATGTAAGATTCGTTCAAAAATTTTAGACATCACTGGCAGCACAGATATGGGACGATAGTTTCCTGGGTCAGTTTTGGGTCCCGATTTGTAGATCGGTGTAACCTTTGCGATCTTCATGGTATCTGGAAACTCTCCGTCAATCATTAGTTTATTAAAACATTGGGCCAAATAATTCGATGTTAAATTTTGAAGACATTTTATCACTTTTTTACTAATTTTATCAATACCACTACTACAATTCGGGTCAAGGTTGTTTATAATTGTGTTGATTTCAGCTGCAGTGCAAGGGGCTAGTGTAGAAAGTTCATGACTATTTGATTGTGTTTTGGAGGTGAGATAGTTCGAGCCATCATAGTGTTTATTAGGTATTTTGTCCGCCAATTGGGACCCTATGGTTGAGAAATATGTGTTGAATATCTCGCAGATCTCGCCTGTCTTAGTAATAAGTTTAGGATCTATAAGAAGTTTTGGAGCAGCACAACTCTGTTTTATTTTATTGCTAGCTAGATTATTAATAAGAGACCACATTTTTTTAGGCGTATCAAAAATATAACTGTGTATCCTGTGATGGTTATAAAAATTATGGGAAAAGAGTTGATAATTCATCTTCCGAGTATCATTAGTGACGACTTTTATGGACTTTTACTTTGATTTTAATTTCTCAACTTTACCTTAGACACGTAGAAGGGATACCTATATAATAAAATCATTGTCGGTACTTAGCCCCGGATGAACCCACAGGACGTAAAATAAAAAATCGTTGCCCCGGGACCATGAACGTTGTAGTGTTAGAAATGTCGGGAGTTCAAAATCAAAATAAAACTCCATAAAATCCGTAAAACAGTCTTATTAAATCAAAGAAATATTTTAATATTAATAGGTACATACCACAAATATATTTTATATTCTATATTTTTGTGCTTTTAAAATCCTGTGACGTTGAACGTTTAAATGTAATTGCGGATAAATAAATATAATTACGATTATTTATTAGATCATAGACGTATACGACAACACATACGGCGGAAAGCGGTGTCTTCTGGTCGTGATGGAGTGCATGGACGGGGGGGAGCTGTTCCAGAGGATCCAGGATAACAGAGAAGGCGCCTTCACTGAGAGGCAGGCGGCCGAGGTTAGTACTTACTTCGTAAAATATCCATTTTTTTTATGTGAAAGGGTGGCATAGGAGCTGGTGGTTCAACTGATGTTAATTGATAACCGCGAATAACCCAGTAACATTTGCATTTTTTTTTTCTGAGTAACATTTGCAACACCAATAGGGCTGCAGATCCGTTGACACCTTTTAATTAGGTGGGCCCCGGCTACCTCGCTCACCGGACGAAACGCACAAGTGTAATCACTTCACGCCAGTCTTCCATATAATTCGCAAACGGACCTCGTAATTTTACGAAGTCTAGTGATCAATCAAATTCGTTTGTAGATTAAGATTTATGTATTTAAATCTTGCTCAACCGTAATCACTTTAGCTTCTGGCGATGATGATTGGATCATGACAACATTGGTGGCAATGAAATAAATAAATATAATATAATAAATAAATATAAATATTTTAGGACACATTTTTTACACAACGTTCTCTAGTCCCAAACTAAGCAACGCTTGTACTATGGGTACCAGATAACTGATAAACATACCTAAACATACTTTTCTTGTGTAAATAAATACATATATAAACACCCAGACACTAGAAAAACACTATGTTCATCACACAATATTTTTCCAGTAGTGGGGATCGAACCCACACCCTCTGGCGCAGGAGGCAGGTACACTACCCACTACGCCATTCGGGTCGTCGAATGTTTTTTAAAAAATGTTAAATGTTTTTTACGATATGCCTAGTAGATATTCCACTCAAGGTCAGCAGTAAAGTTACTGAAATCGTCGTGACTTTCATAAATAAATTTTAAAACTTGTCTAGGAATTCAGCTTTAGCACTTGTTAATTATCTCAGATTTTGATTTAATCCCCGTCTTGTGTTTCACTATCATGAAGTCATAAACACAATGCATTGCTCAAATTTCAAGCCAGTATAACACCTGTAGCACGGAATCGCCGTCCGTATTGACCACTACCGTTGCGTTAACAATATAAGCCAATACAAAAATATACTTATGATAATAACATTTATTAAATTGGAAATAACGTACACATTGTAGAACCCTGACTCCAATGCTATGTCATCTTTTGTTACATAATTCAGTGTCATTCACAATTTTACTTAATCATCCAACATTACACTTCTATATTAAATATTCATAGAATCATTATCTTCATCATATCATTCATAAAAGCGGAGCAAAAATAAACAACCTGAAGTTATTCTTAGATATTTGAAGCCATTTGTTTCTTTATCATAATTGTGTCATTGGCGATATCATATGAATATCTATATAGCCTTAGAAGAAGAAGAACATTACACTTCAACCCGTTTAGTCGGTTCTCAATAAAAGATTCCACAGCGGTGTTTCCACGCGTGATGAATAATGTGAGCGATTCCTTACTTCCATCTTACAACTACACAACAGTGTTTGCGCGTGATAAGCAATAATGTATGCCGTGTCCGTCTCGTAATGCCATCACGCGCTCGCCCAGATAATGCACTCGATCTGCGTGGCGGTACGGCATCTGCACGACTCGGACATCGCCCACCGCGACATAAAGCCGGAGAACCTCCTCTACACTAGCATGGACCCCAACGCGATCTTGAAGCTGACCGATTTCGGTTTCGCGAAGGAAACGCTGTCACAGGCGGACACCCTGCAGACCCCATGCTACACGCCCTACTACGTTGCACCAGAGGTAGTGATAGTAAAATATCTTTATCTTTATTAAGTACGCCAACAGTAAAACTAAAAAAGTCCAACTAAAAAAGACGTTGTATATATGCTTGCCAATTATTAGGTATACACTACTTTCATATAAGTTATCGACGTCAGGCCGGTCGTTTAAACATACCCAAAACTGCTTAAAACATGATTCACATGTTGTGCCGACCATACCTTTTTTATGTTAAAAGTTGCCAAGCAGGTGGTTCACCTGATGTTAAGTGATTACCACCGCCCATGGACCCCTGCTACACCCGAGGGTTGCAGATACGTTGATAACCTTTTGAAAATTGGGCTCCGGCTGCCTCACCCACCAGACGAAACGCGAAAGTATTATACTTACGCCGGTCTTCTATGAGGTCGTGGTACGTACCCGGACGAGCCGGCCTATTCGTGCAACAACCGAGGCTGCTGCGTGGCCCTACCACCGTGAAAAGCTAGGTAGGATAAGGGCATGTTGATGATAATGATGATTCAAAGTTGAAGATGACAGTGAATACTTGTATTGACTGATGTTACCGCTTACAGTCCCGAGACTATTAAAGCTTCATCGCACGCAGAACCGGTGGGCTAGCCAGGACCCACGGGTTTGAGGCCCTCCACATTGGGTAGGGCCGCGCATGTGCTCATTGCACTGAATAGTCAAAGTCAAGTTGACTTTGACTTATTGTAAATCATAAGTGAAAGTCAACTTGACTGAGTAACACTACTTATATTAATAAGAGCCGTGATAGCTCATTGACTAGGCGCTCGCCTTTAATTCCATATACTCGAGCAACCTCAGTTCGATCCGGTCTGGTCGGTGCCGGCACCAATGAAATTGTTAATTTTAAGTGCTGTATTATCACGTGCTCAGCGGTGAAGGAAATCGTGAAGAACCCTGCATATTTTCGAAATGATAATTTAAAAAAATATTTCGAAGATATGTGAAGTCCGCCAATCCGCAGTGGGGCCGCGTGGCGCGGGCGACTATGCCCTGATACCCTCTGTACAGAGGAGGCCCTTGCCCAGTAGTGGGACATTTATGGGCTGTTACTATAATTTTAGTACCAAGAAGCCTATTACGATAATTTCAGGTTCTGGGCCCGGACAAATACGACAAGTCCTGCGACATCTGGTCTCTGGGCGTCGTCATGTACATACTCCTGTGCGGGTTCCCGCCATTCTACTCCAACCACGGCCTCGCCATATCGCCCGGAATGAAGAAGGTATTCTTATGGTTTTCTGACGAGACATTCTTAGTACTGATGCGACATTCTGAATCTGAATGTATGGAAAATATCAATATGAGGAAATATTATATTTCAAGACGTATTTTTACACAACTTTATCTAGTCCCAAGCAAAGCTTGTCATATGTCCTATTACATTATGAAGAGAGATTACGTAATAATAATTAAACTTTATTTCCAATATTAACGTAAGCACGGATCCATGTTTATGATAACTAAATTTGTCAAATCAATTTCTCACCCTTGCATTTAATGCCTAATTAATCCTATTAAAAAAACAAATGCGTATTACTAAAATTTATTTACATTATATTATTTATTTTAATATTTAATTATACCTATAATAATACTTAATTAAAATTGACTTGTCAGATGTATTTGTTAGATTTGTCGATTCACATCGATGTTGACTTTTTGCAATTACCTTTGCAGAGGATCCGACTGGGCCAGTATGACTTTCCAGAGCCAGAGTGGTCGAACGTGTCCGTAGAAGCCAAGAATCTCATCAGGGGCATGCTATCCGTAGACCCGGCGAAGCGATTGACAATACACCAGGTGAGTAATGCGGAATTCACCTATCGGTCAACTCAATATTAAATAAAATCACAATACTCATGTTCGTTAGTTAAGTTACCACCGGTTCGGGGAGCCGTCAACTATTTTTAACTGAGGCTAAGGTGTAAGAAGATAACAAATAACGTGAATCTTTAAAAATTAAGAGAAATTCCACGCATCATGCTAAGTGGGACTCTGAATGACAGGTTAGGAAATTGAGGAATCCGGACAGCGTTAGGTGAGAAAAACTCTTTAGTGGTGTTGACAAAATGAATGAAAAAGGCTGATAAGTAAAAAAAGATTGGCGATGTACTGAGGGACTACATCGCAAAAGCACCCTTAGCGAACGTGAGATGCGGATAAGGTTGCTAACCGTACTTTATTAATATATAAAATATTAAATGTTATAATGAAAATAAATATAAATGCAGACCCGGGTCTGCATAATATATTATATTTGGGAAAATATATATTGCACAAAAATACTATATTTCATGTAAATACATCTGTATGTAGGAGCCGTGATAGCTCAGTGTCGGGGCGCTCGCCTTTAATTCAATACACTCGAGCAACCTGAGTTCGATCCCCGTTGCCGGCACCAATGAAATTGTCAATTTTAAGTGCTGAATTATCACGTGCTCAGCGGTGAAGGAAAACATCGTGAGGAAACCTGCATATTTTCGAAATAATAACAAAAAATATATATATTTCGAAAATATGTGAAGTCCGCCAATCCGCAGTGGGGCCGCGTGGTGGACTATGCCCTGATACCCTCTGTATAGAGGAGGCCTTTGCCCAGCAGTGGGACATGTATAGGCTGTAACTTTACTTTTTTTTTACATCTGTATTTCTTTTTAACAGTACATTTGTGTAAGTAACAAATATATTTGTGTATTATTTAATTTATCCATAAAATTGTATAATCAACTAGACATTTTAGCAACCCTCGACGTGGAAAAGACTGAAGTAGGATATCCAGGAATCTTGAAAATTGGAAATACGTAGTGAGGCCAGCTAAGTGACGAATGACTATGTATTTTTATTGCAGAAAGTTGTGCACGAAGGTGGATTTTATCTGATCCAGGTTATGGACCTCTACATCCTAAAGGGGTTTCTTACCAAACTAATAAGTTGGGCCCTGATTAATTCACCGGACGAAACGCAAAGCATCAATACTCTAACTTACCAATTTACTTTGGCACAAGTGAGACTGTGGTAGGGTATAGACTTCCTAGAAGTAGTCTACTCATTCCTACAACAGCACTGCGTGGCTCTACAAAACTAACTACTACGATATAAACTCTAATCTCTATACTAATTATTACTACGGACGGGAATAAGATTATGAAAATAACTCATTCCTAGACTGATCGTAATATAGTTCTTATTGGAACAACAAGTAATCTCAAAGAAGAATTAATTGTTAGCTCTGTTTGTTGTGAATTACCGTTGAGTCATCGTAAATAATTTTTTTAAGATGTATTAATAATTATTACCTGAAATTGTCATTAGCCTAGCCGGTCCAGGCCGTCGTTTTTAAGCGACCTAATAAAATACGAGTACGCTATCGTCATAATTTAGCTACGTCGTGTAATTGTGAACGCGATGACAAGTCACAATTTTCATATCGATAATATTTTATCTTCACATTGCCCGTCACGATATTCAAAAATTTTGTTATTACCCTACGATGACGATCTGTATTCCCCAAACAGTTTATTACAAAGACCAACCTTGCAAACACAATTATGTAACAACATACAATGCGTATATAACTATGAATATGTATATCAATCACGCCCGTCTCCGTTGGTTTACACAAAGATTAGAGATTTCTATTTTCCGCTGTCTCTAATTCCTCTAGCCCCTACAATACATCACCTTTAGTTTAAATCAAATTTAATGATTAAACAAACGCACATTATAAGAAAAATGTTTTCATAAAAATAATAATCTTCGAAGGAATGTATGATAATGCCATCTATTAATAATTTGTTCAAATTAAAAATAGCGAAGTAAACCGATTTATTTTAAAACGAATGTTCCTGCCTTTCCCACTGCATACCGCAAAGAGTACTTAAAAAATCGCATACTTCTTATCTCCCAATAATTAACTATTCTGTTTAAGAAGTACTTAGCTTCACAAATAGCATTGTGTTACCGATAATTCAGGTTATGGCGAGCCCGTGGGTGCGTCAGTACACTCAGGTGCCGCAGACGCCGCTGTACACTCACGCGCTGCTGCGAGACGCGGGCGACGCGTGGGCCGACGTGCAGGACGAGATGACGCGCTCCTTGGCCACCATGCGCGTCGACTACGACCAGGTGAGCTATGCACCCCTGGTACATTTCCCGACCTCGGTCTAGTAATAATACCTAAACGCAATTAATATGCAGAGCTGCAACACACAAACGCTTCAAGTCCAAGTATGAGTCCTGGTAAAACGTCATTAATCTTAAAAGAAACTATTCACGAAAACGAATAACAAAACTGTTCGCGACTGTACAGCTGTGTTGTTAGAACAGGACGGTTTGACGCGCTCCTTGGCCACCATGCGCGTCGACTACGACCAGGTGAACTATGCACCCCTGGTACATTTCCCGACCTCGGTCTAGTAATAATACCTAAACGTAATTAATACGCAGAGATGCAACACACAAATGCTTCAAGTCTCCGCGATTTCTGCGCATGCATGAATTCTGTCTGTGTCGCGTATTAAAACGTAATATGTGAAAAAAAAATCTGTTCTTGAAAATGAATCACCACTTTGCTCGCGACTGTACATTAACGTGTAGTGAAGCGGGAAGAGATGGCGCACTCGTTGGCCACCGTGCGTTTCGCATTACCACGGGTACTATGCACCCCTGGTACATTTCCGGACCTCAGTCTACCAATAATACACATACAACACCGGTGCAACACTCAAGTGCTCCAGTTGGATAATAGCTACCGATTGAGCCAAGGACCGTCCCTCTCGGGCACCCTCGAATCGGAATGCTAAACGAGAGGTCCCCTCTCGGGGACCCTTGAGCCTAGTCACTCCATGGAGCGTCCGCCAAAGCGACCTAAGAGTTTGGCGGCCTCCCAAACCGGTGAAACTAATAGCGTGACGGCCCGAGCCGAGGTTCCTTCGGGAGCCCTCGAGCTTAGTCACCATAACGCGTAATATTAATACGCCGAGGTTCAGGCTAGGCGCCCTGAGCGCCCGGCCACCTCACATCCGGCGGAACTGTGAAGGCCTCTAAGGCCAACAGTGGCTCATCAAGCCCAAAAAATACTCAAGTGCTACAAGTCTCGGCGATTTCTACGCATGTACGAGTCCTGTATCGCTTGATGAAACGTAACAGCTATTTAAAATAACCGCTTTTTAATAAATCCATATGGATGTGTACATAGTACATTTACAAAAAATAACATTTTTTACAATTTTTGTCTGTCTGTTTGTTCTGGCTAATCTCTGAAACGGATGGACCGATTTGGACGGGACTGCCACTGACAGATAGCTGATGTAATAAGGAGTAACTTAGGCTACTTTTATTTAAGATTTTTTTTAAATGCCACGCGGACGAAGTCGCGGGCACAGCTAGTATAATAATATATTTAAATCCAAGTGAAATTTTGTTTTCATTTAAATCTCTAAAAGCGACTTGCTTAATAGACGTTCGGATTCAACATGACCTACGTCAGTGCGCCCCGATGGACCCGTATTTATTTATAAGGGATCTTAATTGTTATAATACTAGATTTTCGCCCGTGGCTTCACTCGCGTTGAAGCCCTTAAATAAATATCTATCCCCTTTAAGAACCCTTTATCCAAATAAAAAATAGCCTATGTCCATTCTCAGGCTCTAGACTATCTGTGTATCAGGTTTTGGTTGGTGGTTTAGTAGTTTTGGCGTGAAAGCGAGACAGACAGACAGACAGAGTTACTTTAGCATTTATAATATTCGTATGGATTGTATTTGGATTATCTACCCTGTTTAATATTTATTAACACTGTTTTAAGTAAATTAGTTTAACACAAACTTAAGACAGCACATAAACATGGGGAATACAACTACTCAATGTAAAGAAATAACTATTAATAGAAACTTGAATATTCATTCCAATTTGTTAAAACTAAACTTTTATTTTCCAGGTACAAATCAAAGCGCTGGAGCAAAGCAACAATTCCCTTCTAAATAAGAGACGGAACAAAGTGGGAGCCTGAGAATCAAGCGACACTCCTTAGAGCCAAATCACGCGAATGACTGTACTTCTGACCAGAGATACTATAGACATAATACTCTATAGACTTGCCGTAAGCATCACAAATGTAATGTAATTTTATTGGTTGTTTTATTTTTAGCACAGCCAATTTACAGAGATTTTGTTTGAGATTTAGATTTAGAAAAATAATGCTTGAAGTATTTTTTGTGTAGTTTCGTCTCTGTGTTTCTATACAGACTCTTATTTTATTTACTATTTTTTTGCAATGTTTGCCTCCTATTATAAGCGCTTCTTTATTATAAGTTATACTACTATACTAGTCTTCCATTGTTATTATGTTGCATTTAAGCCACCACAAATGTATCACAATATTAAACAAAATACTTGAAAAAAAAACAATGTTTTAGCACAATGGAATCTCTGTTAGTACAAAAGCATCATATGCTGACTGGATGCCACATTTGCAATACAAATTTCTCTGGTCAGAAAAAAAATAGGTATTAAAAATTTAAGTCGCATTAATAACGACTGTTAGGTTCTATTAAGAACACTTCTATCGACTAACTGTGGAAAATAACAACTTTTGGTCAAGCACGTGCAGTCATTGCATTCTTACTAAATGCTTAATTACTGTTGCTAATATTAGCGTTTAGTAATTGGATCTAAATTTACCATAACTTGCAAATCTAATATAAAACCGTCCAAAGAATGATGATTGATATACAGTAATTTTATTTTTTTAGACGGCTAATTGAAACCCAAATCGCGAAAACATTCATTTTTATTAGATTTCGTAATTAAAAATACAACAACCAGAAAATCCATTTTTATTGAATGCTATTTGTGTTCTTGATCGAACTTATTAATGCTAATATTAATCAAATAGATGTAAGTTAATTTGTGCTTATTATGTTTATAGTGGTGAGGGGATTTCTGATCGAGTTAGTATGAACAGTTTAATAACATAATAATTATCAGCTGTATTGACATGACTGACAAAAATGATGATTTTATACCATGTACATTCAATGACTATAGGTCCATAACTTCTTAAACTTATAGGTTTAAGGTAGCTTCAGACATTGCAAGGTTTTATATTGTACATTATGGCGACGAATCTGAAAGTATCCCAACTTACACTGGGTGCAGTAAAGTAAGTTGCCTGGGATACTATCACCTTGCAATGTGTAACATTTTTCAAATTATTTCTTAGTGCATTACTGTTTAGTCGCGGGAAATATAAAATCTCTTCACTTTATACTTTTAATTCATGTTAAAAATTTGTAACATGAAGAGAAGTAAAGAAAATATCATTTTATTACGTTTACATGTTTGCAATACATTTGTATAAATGCTTTCAAATGCGGTATACGTAAATAAACTTTAAATAAAATATTAAACATTGCAGCAAATGAAATTTCGGGAAAAGGTTTAATTAATATTGGTCTGAAGTAAATTAAAAATATTATGTTATTTTGCTTCTGTATTTGGCCAGTTTTTAATGCTGTTATACTTTCCTTGTATTAGGAAAATATCGTTTGTTATAAGAGATTTTATATTTCCCTTAAATAAAAATTGTAGTTGAAATAAATCATAGGAATATTAATCAAACATTTCATCAAATATTAATTCTTTGTCACACTCAAAAGTGTGAGATAAACAATCGAGATTTAAATTAAGTATCTAAAAATCTCTTTTCTCTAATTCTTTTTGTAATAAATTTCAACAGTAGCTTCTATTAACTGTTCGGAAATAATAAGAAAATATTATGTATTTTATATGTACCCTAATGTTAATGTATCTAAATCTAAACTATTGTACAAAAGTTTAGACGTAACCATTAAAAGCACATTTGATGCCTTTAAATAGCCTTAGCAATTAGGTAATTATGAAGAGAGAAGTTACTGTACAATGCGTGATAATCTTCCCTCTTTGATAGTTTACATTCTCAGTTTAAAACCTACTTTTATCACATTCGATAAATATATTCCATTTAGGAATCTAAATATCACAATATTTTTATTCAGTTAATTAAAATTATAAATATGCATTGAAACATATTAAAAATATCTCAGTGATTGAAATTAAATTAGGAACCACATTTAGTTTATTTTTCGCCGTCCATTTTGAAAAGAAAAGTACAGATTATATTTTCATACGTGTAAGTGTGCGTTATTGCGCAAGTAAGGCTTTTCATAAATCTGCAATGTGCAAGGAATTAAGGCAACATTTAAATTTTGACCAGTATTAATGTTGCTAACTGTAGAAGTCGGTTTCGAAGTGTGAATGAACCGAAGTACAAATAGATTGAAAGTAAGAGGATTTGTCAATATTGGTACATCTGTTATGACAAAATTACAAACATCAAATCATCTAGAGTATACGTTATATGTTACGTAATGACTTAAGAGTGAAGCTGGATCATCATTGCTTACCTCTTAATTATTAGCAAATAGGCACCAGAAAATTTTGTCACAATTTCGAGTTGATTCTTTAAGTGGACGTTTTTCATAAATCTGCTGTCTTCTTAGCAGTTATCGCGTGTCAAATATAGTTTAAGATTGCATTTAGATTCTTCAATAGATTGCCAATAGTTGTTAAAGTCCAGCATGACGAAAGTATCCCAAGTTAGTTATGTAATTGAAAATAGGTACTATTGTAAGTTTCAGATGATTTGTAAAATACTGTACAATTTAGTCAATATGAAGTATATTCACAATTTTTTTTTTTTATAATAATAGGTAACAAACTTGATTCCATGGTGTGGACATCCACATTCCACACTGTAATTTGACATCACAGTGATAATTATTGTTTCTAAAGTACTTATTTGTTTTTTTTACTGCATCTCTATTGTTTACTTAAAAGACGCATCGATGTAACGAAACGTGTATTGCATGTCGATAAAATTAAGTATACGTAACAATGTAATAAGAATGGAGAAATTAAAAATATTGATACCCGTTATCTCTCATGTTCCTTCACATCCTCCCTCATTCAAGTAATACTTTTGTAGTGTTGACCATACTAAGTCGCCCAGCAAAATCCACTTGCCTCACTGCGGATTGGCATATGGCAATTCATATATCTCCGGAATATTTCTTTGTTCATTAATTACACGATGTTTTCCTTTACCGCTGAGCACGTGATAACTCAGCACTTAAAATTAACAATTTCATTGGTACCGACACCGGCGATCGACCTCTGGTAGCTCGGGTATATTGAATTAAAAGCAAACTATCACGGCTGCTCAATGGTTCGCTGATACAAATAAAATGTAATCAAAAATTAAAACTGCGATTTTTAAAACTATTTTTAGTTTATTTGTATAAATATATGATATTACTTTTCTGGAAAAAAGTTTCACTATTAGAACAAATAAAAAATGCAATATTTGTGTTATTAATAAAGCGGCTCTGCTTGAGAAATACTTAACCTATGTATAACAAAGGAATGCAAAAAGCATGATAAAAATTTCAACAATTAAACACAGATTGCATTATGTTTGTTTTACTTAGTCGTTATAAAGTTTGCAACATCGATAATATTAAGCGAATGGAAAGTTTCTTAATATAATTAGCGATAGTTTTAATTCTCATTCGTATCATAAACCAGATAAAACTTGGCGATATTCCATAAAATGTCTGATTACCAGTAATTTAAACAATTTATCGTATTTAGAATTTTAGCCACTTTTCATTCGCATGCAACATATCTATTAAATCTAATCATAAATAACATTTAAATTCAACAGTTTATAAATACTATGGACCATCTGTTGCTGGAAGCTTGGTTAAATACTTTGCTTTATATTTTATACTTCTTGGTTAAACACTTTACAACTCATTTAATGATAAAAAAATGCAGTTTGTCTACAAGAAGCTGTATAGGATATAGATTATAGGCGGTGCCCAGGCACTGTGGGTCATTGTCAAACCACTGAGACAGGCAACAAAGTACCATAGGAGAGATATTATAAGTATCTGCCAGACGACGTGGGCTGCCAATAGTCTAGAACAAAAATATAGGTAAAAATTACATGCAAATCTCTCAACCGTATTTACAGACTTAATGAAACTCAGAGAGAGGCTCTGTTTTACAACGTAATTGATACTACAAATTTATTTTAATGTGTATAATGTTAACAGTGCTCATTTTATTAATGTTAATTATCTAATAAAAATGATTGTAATGGCTGCATGGATGGAGCATTTTTATATGGTAGATATAATAATTTTTGGATTGAGTAAATTGAATCCAAGCCTAGGGTTAAATTACAACACCAATTGCTGATTATAGCAGATTCTGTGTAACACGCCCTGTAGTTTGTGCCCTAATCTATTGTGACAACTGTAGATTAAGGCACAAACTACTATCGCGTAACAAACACTCAAAAAAATGTATTGATATTGAATTCATTGAATTTTATAGAAGAATAAGCTAACAATGTGATACTTACACTGTGTCCTTGCTTCTGGCTACAGGCAGGGTGGTTTCCTTTTCTTTATTCAGATATCTACGTACACCCAAGTGTAATTTCACGAAGTATTCAATCCACTGAAAGAAAACAAAGAGTCATTCAACTTTCGCATTTCGCGTCTGGACTTTGGAGTGTAACATCTAAGTAAGGATAAACCGGCGCATAATATTTTAATTAATAATGATACATTTAATGGATAATAAAGAGGAGAGATTTCAATAATACTCGCTGATCGTGCTAGGGTTATTGAAACCATAACATAAATGTACCAAATTAGTCACAGTCTTGCATTAGTTCATAGTTTCATTTAAGAATTATTATTATATTTGGCCAAATATAATAATAATATTTTTCCACCAAATAATTTATTACTTGTTATAAAGGAAACTAATTTTACGGATTTATCGCGTTTATTTTTAATTTAAGTGCCCGACGTTTCGAACCCTTTACAGCGTTCATGGTCACGGGACAGACTGAGGTGTTAGAAGTCTGATTGTCAAAGTTATCCCGGGCTACCGTCAGTTTTTGTATTATTGATTTTGTGTCCGTTCTATGCAGAGGGAGCTAATTGTATCTTGTCTTGCAGTAGTGGTTCTTTTGGGCTTAGATTTAATTTTATTGATGATAGGATCCCAAGCTGATGGTAGTACCCAACCCTCTTCTCTGTTGAAATTAGGGTGTTCGTTTTTAAATATTTTTAATATAAATAGCCTCGCGAATCATCCTTGGGAGGAATCGGTGTTCTTTTGCAAGGATCTGTGGTCTATCAAACCTGATGTAGTGGTTGGGCCGATTTAGAGTGTGCTCACAAACTGCAGACTTGTTTAATCTACTATGTTTTATGTCAGCTATATGTTCTTTCACGCGGGTTTTTATAGCTCTTTTGGTTTGTCCTATGTAAGAGAGCCCACATTCACAGTCAAGTTTGTACACTCCTGGATCTTGCAGAGGGATATTACTTGTTGCTAAATTAAACATATGTCTATGCATTCAGGCTATCTTACATCAATATCAGATATGTCTATGTAGAACAATTCGCTGTCTGTCTTGTTCAGTGTTTTACTCAGGTCTCTCGTGTTCGGGTTATGGAAACGCCATTCGTTGAAGATGAACTTCTCGAGCCGGCCCAAGGACGTCCACACGTTTTTGTGAAGCCGGAACAGTCTGGGAATTAATAAGATCGATATATAAGGACGCACAAAACGTTAGTGCGTCACTGCACATTACATGAGCAGTGATGAAAAAATTCACTAGTCATACAAGTTAATAGAGAGCCGGTGTATGCCGGCATACGTAGTACGTATAAAAACGCAAAGCTGTTGATAAATAACCATAGATACATGATTTATTCTTTAGTTGATTTCATATTGTGCTGACCACGTGATATTGGGATAAAGTATAAAGTGAAACAAAGGTTCTTAAAGTTTTCAATATTTAAGTATTTTTGTTTAAAAGTAATTATTTTTGGTTAAAACTACTAATTATACTGGTATTAATCTAAATTAAATTTCTTCATCAACATCATCCTCCTGCCATTACACCACCTAGGTGGAGTCGGCACAACATGTAAATCATGTTGTAAGCGGTTTTGGCCAGATCTTTAAAATGTTCGACGATTCGCGAATTTTAATGATCTCACCAAACGGTTCTAAGACAGAGCCGAACATCATCCCTACTCTGGTGGTAAGCGCAGCAAATTACCAACCCGACACAAACGCGAACGTCAACAAGCGTCGCCCGCGCACCGTGCTCATCGACCCGGTCGAGGGGATTTAAGTTCGTCGGACCCACCGTCGGGGGTCCCGCCGAATAACACTACACACTCAGTTAGTGCATCAACAAACACCATATTAAAACGCCATACCCTAACAAAACACCATAGTTCGTCCTCGACTTCGAGCACGGCCAAACCAACACAACGCGTACACTAGGTACTGTTCTTACATCGGTTTCCCACCCGTCAGCCTCAGCATCATATCGAGGAGTATCGCCGGGAAGAAGTGAACGAAGATGGCCGACAGCCTGAACAGCCACAGAGAAGAGACAAACTCCAATCGAGGATACCTGAAATGCATACGCGTTCAAATACAGCTCTCCAAATGCAAAGACTCGATACAGGTTTTCTTGAACAAAATGTTTTTCACAAAGTAACTTTGATGAAACTTTACCTTCATACTAGTTGAAAAATAGGTATTTTGCCTTTGACAAATTCAAGTTAATTTTGAAGCAGTGGGCTCAGTGCGTTTAAGTTCTGCCACAATGAATATTGTGCTCAAGTACTTGTTAAATCTATTTTGTCAAGAAAATCTTATACTGTTGTAATACAACTTGGTACAAAAAATCACTTGGTACACAAAGACAGCCAAAGCCGGTAGTTTAGTGTTTGAAAGTTAACATGTTCGGAATTAGTGTTTAAAGAACTTTATAAATTTACTTGTAGGTTTTTGTATTTTATACCCATACTATTCTATTTTTTTTTACAATAGCAGTGTTTTGCAACTGCAGAATCAAATCAGAATTAATTTAATTATAGTATTTTTACCCTACATAATCCCAGTGTTTTTAATTCCAATAAAAATATTTGATTGGAAATCTAAATAATGTAAATCAAATTAGATATAAAAATTGTATGGCATATCAGATTGTTGCCATGTTATTAAACTATGTATAAGTGTTAAAAAGTATGTATTCTCTATAAGAAAATTAAAAAATACTAGAATTGCATAATGAGCAATACTTTTCTATTTAATATGTTCATACATATATTGATTTAATCTGCGAATCGTATTTTTTTTTATAACTTTGGTTTAAAAGAAAAAGGTGGCTTTTGGTGGAAAAGAATTAATCACATTACTTATCTTTTATATTAATATTGAATAAATCTCTTTAGGATGGACTCAATTTCGGTTTAGGAAAGGAGTTTAGAACTTCTAGACGTTGAAACCAAGACGACCAGGCTAGTAATAAGGATTTTTTATTCCATAAAAACTTAGGCATACGTACCATACAGCACTTTTCAGAGGGTACTTGTGAAGCAGTTCGTTAACTTGTGTCTCAAGCATAATCCAGCGAAATGGTTTTTGTGTGGACGATGAACAATGGTACACAGTCAGCCCACTCCTGAAATATTGATTTCTCGGATTGTAGCAAATGATTGACTTCATAAATATACTTCTTAGGGAAATGCAAGGGTCCCAAAGGAAGTCCTGATATCAATTGAGAACATGATTGGGTTAACAAAAGCTTATATAAAAATTTAAATCCATGCACGCCAACACTGTTAGATCTCAAGATACGCTCATCCTGCGTAGATGGAGAAAAACAAAATCAAAAAGTTTAAGAGCCGTATTAACTATGACTGAGTCTGCCCCAGGACCATGAATACTATGAAGTTTAAAGTCAGCAAAAATCCCGTTAAATGGTTCGAAGGCACACAATCAGTATTTTTTTACTTACTTCTCCTTTGCTGCATGCCAACCGGCCACAAGAAGTTGGTTGACGACGATGTCTACTGGTATATAGTCAGCAATATTCTGCTTGGCCATAGGCAGACGTCGTACCACGCCTGAAAACGCAATAAAAGACTTACACTTGCAAAATAAATACTAGACTAAACTTTACACAGAAAAAACCTTATAACAATTTCAAAGAAACTTTTGTGCTTACACATTTTTATGTATGTTCTATTATTTACAAGTAGTCACAAATAGCTGTATTATCCACTGATGCAATTAATTTTGAAAATCGATGTCTGGTGACAGGCTCAAATGGTTTTGAGTGGTCTCAGTCTTTTTTTTTTATGTGAACAGTTGCCAAACGAGCAGACGGTTCACCTGATGCTAAGTGAATACCACCGCCCATGGACATCTGCTAAACCTGAGGTTTACAGATGCGTTGACAACCTTTTGAAAAATGGGCTCTGGCTACCTCACTCACCAGACGAAACGCGAAAGTATTTGTCATACTTCTACTTTATTAGGCTGGTCTTCTGTGAAGTCGTGGTACTTACCCGGACGGGCCTGCCCATTCGTGCAACAGCCGAGGTTGCTGCGTGGCCCTACCACCGTAAAAAGTCCCTTACAACGGGCAAAAATTTAAGTTATTTCTTCATACACGAAAGTAAAACGCGCTATTGGAATGAAGCCGCAAGCTTAATGAATCAACAAACCTTTAGCTGCTCCCATAAGAAAACCTTGTGGTCCCACTTTGGAGCATGTCCAACCCGGAACTGGCTCCTTCCATGCCGCAACAACTGAAAGAACAATGAGGTATAGTCTCAATTTGTAGTTGGAAAAAAGAAAAAAAATTATATTGTTCCCTTTTAAATTATTATTTGTTACCCATTTAGGTAACTTGCCTCATGGCATTAAAATTTACTTGTTTACTCATTCCATATTCAGAAAACAACTAGGTTATATAATATTTTATGTATTATATTGTTATAAAAAATATTTCTACATGTATCTACATAAAAATAAAAAAGGTTAAAAAAAAGCAATGAAAAATAAAATAATCATACTCATGGTTGGTCTGATAATGGTACAAGGGAAAAGATCCGCGCAGTTCTTCACCTCATGCTCTCCCAAATGTTTGGTAAAAGTGTATGTGTTGAGGTGATCCTTCAAAACCCTGTTATAAAAATAAGTTAGATAATGGAACAGAAAAACGAAAGAGTATATGAACAGGTATTAAATTATAGCATTACTCATTATTCATAAATAATTATACAAAAACATATAACAGCTATACGCTATATTATAACTTATAAGGGCTACTCTTTTCAAGGAACATTATTTAGGAAGATGTCAACAATTTCACTTCCTCATTGGGAAACTATTCTCACAACAACAATGGGAAGATAACATATATACATATGTGTTAAGAGTTAAAATCAAAAAAGTTTGCCTCTTTCTTACAAATGTATATCTTTGAAAGTAATCATTGCAACAATAAAAAAGATCTAACAACACTGTATCACCAAATAATGCTAATGTTTCATTAAAATTTAAACCATATTTAAAATCATAAAGGTTTATTTCAATTATATCTTATCCTTTAAACAAGCAATTCTTGTATATATATACAATGTGTCTTTACAATAGTGACAATAAATGAACACACATGTAGAGGATAACTTTTTAAAATTGTATTAAAGATTTACATTCTTTAAACATCAATATTTACGGAGTTATCACATTTTCCAAAACAAAGAATTTTAGAACATCCTTACATATAAAACTGAAATGTAAAGGTCAATTGTAAAGGTCACAAAGCATATGAATGGGTTGAATGAATTTAAAAGAGACAAAACATACTTTTCGAAGGAGAGGCTTGTAATGCGACGCTGTGGCAACGAATGGAAAAGTTTCTAAATGTCTGAATCAGTCAGTTGTAGTTGTATAGGATGTTACAAATTTTGTTTCTTTTTTACTTAGTTTGTTTGAAAAACATTTTTTTTAATTATGGATTTAATTATATTACATATATAAATATAATTATATTTAATTATGTGCGTAGATTCAGGGGCAAAAAATCTATCTAGCTGTTTTCCCTGTTTTCAGGGAATGAAAAATATCATTAGAATATGACGGTAAATTTCGCCTCAAAAAAAATGTTATAATAGCTAGGGCGGTAATTAGGTGGCCCCAAAACAGACGGCCGTGGTTCGTGTCACGATCATTTACACACTCTTTTCTTCTCGAAAAATATTATGCATATTTCATTACTCAGTACTGTGTATCTAAATGTAATTTCCAAATTACATGATTTAAAATAAAAACAAACCCAGCAAAGCTCGGTCCTCCATGTACTTATTATTTAATAACTCTATTAAGAAAACTTACTGTGATTCAATTTCATTCAAGGCATCATCATTCATAGTTTCAACAAATGATATAACTTTTTCTACATCTTCCGGAGCATCATACACTTTCTCATGAGCTTCATTTAAGTAAGAGTTTACATAAGCAGAGGACACATGTACCATGACCTGGAAAATATATTGATACAAAACAAAACTGATTGGAGCTTAAAACTTTTAAATCAATATGTAGCATTTTGCAACTACCTTTAAATCCTTAATCTCCTTACACAGTTGCAATACACTCCTTGTTCCCAGGACATTGATCTTCACTGTAGGCCTAAGGTTGTCTCCAAAGTCCAAAGTAGCAGCAGAATGTATCACCACATTAACATTTTCTATTAATAAACTTCTGTCCGTAGGGCTTAAACCTAATTCATCTTGACCAACATCACCTGATACTGGCACCAATTTCTTGAATATGTCTTTCGATTGAGTTTCCAAGAGCTTTTCAAATACCTGCATGAACCACCAGATACAATTTAAAAAATTACATTACTTTACACATGAAACATGATCAGAATAACAAAATGCTGAGTCCTCAAGAAGATAGATTTTTGAAACATTTGGTTATTAGAAAATTACTTATAGAATCATACTATCGGTATTTATTTTATATGAGAAAATGTCAAACATTCCGACGGTTCACCTAATGTAATAATCCTGATCCCATACCCATACACCTGCCCATTTTTGCAACAGTGATGACTGATAAGTCGCCCTAGCACAATTCAACTCTTAACGGCATACCATTACTCTTCTCTCTACTTTTTACTTTATGGCAGTTAATATCTATTCGCCAATGTGAAAGTTAATATAGGAAAATTATTAAATGGTTAGCTTATCAAGAGAAGAGCAGAGGAATAAGAAAACATATAAGGAATTTAAAATAAATATATTAAACATAATACAAACCAAAGAAAAATAATTATCTAGATTACTATTACCTAGAACATAGATAAACAGTTATATTATACTTGTAACCTATACCATTACCATTACTTACTGGATAAATTTATCTTACAGTTTGTAACATGGCTGATATATGCCTAATTATATATATAATATCTCCTATCCATATCACAGTAATAAGTATTAATAAAGTTTCTTTTAAATTTTAAAATTTTGTAATGTAATGATAACTTGGTTTGAGAGTTTTGTTTAACTTGGTTCAAAATTTTAAGTAAACTTTAAAGATATATACCGGATTGCTTGGGAATTCTTCTAATCTATCTGAAATATCCTTCCCCTTTTTTGGTCGCATGAGTAAATATAATTTTCCAACATCAGGTATAGTTCTTAATATTTTTTCTATCAAACATAAACCGACGAAGCCGGTGCCTCCAGTTATGAAGAAATTCTTGCCGCTGTAAAACGCTCGCACTTGCGATTGTTCCGACATTTTTTATCACTATTTCAAAATAAACTTCTTTGATATCTGTAAGAAAAAGTTTTTGTTATTAAATAATGCAGTGCACATAACTAAATAAATATATCCAAAAGTCCAAAACAAACAAATATAGTCATTCATTAGGGATGCCGAAAAATATCGATATACCAATATTTTTTTAAAAATATATCGAAATTTTTGGCCGATATATTTTGATTCGATATATCGATATAAAAATTGAATACCGTAATCGTATCAAAAACGATTTTTTCTTTCAAACTAATTCAAAGCGTTAAAGATTAAAATGAACGGAAAAAACTGGTGTTATATTACTAGTATTGTCGCGGATGCAGAGTTGTATTTTGTACTATAATTATGGTATTTATAGTACAATTTGATGCTTTGTACTTTACAGTATCCATATCTTAAGTACAACATGGTGTAGAGGTGTTACATATCTTATCCTTTAAATGAGCAATTCTTGTATATATATATATATATATATATATACACATATATAATCGGAATCTCGGACTCCAGCGATTTTCATGAAATTTAGTATGTGCGTAAATTCGGGGGCGAAAAATCAATCTAGCTAGGTTTCATTTTTAGAAAATGTCTTTTTATCCCTGTTTTCAGGGAAAGAAAAAAATATAATTCGAATATGACGGTAAATTTCGCCGCAAGAGAAAATGTCATAATAGCTCGGTCGGTAATCGGGCGGCCCCAAAACAGACGACCGTGGTTCGCGTCACGATCATATAGTCATTTATTTTTTTACTTTTTTTTCGATTCCAGATCATTACTTTCTGTATTTTTAATTTTTTGTCGATTTGTTTTTTTTGTTATTTTATTCCCTTTTTTTTTAAGTTTTTTCTTTTGTGAAAAACACCAGTTCATATTTTCTTATTAGTATGTCGGCAAGATCGAAAAATATTATGCATATTTCATTCCTCAGTAAATTGTATCTAAATGTAATTTCCAAATTATACGATTTACCAAAAAAAAAACAAACCAGCAAAGCTCGGTCCTCCATGTACTTATTATTTAATAACTCTATTAAGAAAACTTACTGTGATTCAATTTCATTCAAGGCATCATCATTCATAGTTTCAACAAATGATATAACTTTTTCTACATCTTCCGGAGCATCATACACTTTCTCATGAGCTTCATTTAAGTAAGAGTTTTACATAAGCAGAGGACACATGTACCATGACCTGGAAAACATATTGATACAAACAAAACTGATTGGAGCTTAAAACTTTTAAATCAATATGTAGCATTTTGCAACTACCTTTAAATCCTTAATCTCCTTACACAGTTTGCAATACACTCCTTGTTCCCAGGACATTGATCTTCACTGTAGGCCTAAGGTTGTCTCCAAAGTCCAAAAGTAGCAGCAGAATGTATCACCACATTAACATTTTCTATTAATAAACTTCTGTCCGTAGGGCTTAAAACCTAATTCATCTTGACCAACATCACCTGATACTGGCACCAATTTCTTGAATATGTCTTTCGATTGAGTTTCCAAGAGCTTTTCAAATACCTGCATGAACCACCAGATACAATTTAAAAAATTACATTACTTTACACATGAAACATGATCAGAATAACAAAATGCTGAGTCCTCAAGAAGATAGATTTTTGAAACATTTGGTTATTAGAAAATTACTTATAGAATCATACTATCGGTATTTATTTTATATGAGAAAATGTCAAACATTCCGACGGTTCACCTAATGTAATAATCCTGATCCCATACCCATACACCTGCCCATTTTTGCAACAGTGATGACTGATAAGTCGCCCTAGCACAATTCAACTCTTAACGGCATACCATTACTCTTCTCTCTACTTTTTACTTTATGGCAGTTAATATCTATTCGCCAATGTGAAAGTTAATATAGGAAAATTATTAAATGGTTAGCTTATCAAGAGAAGAGCAGAGGAATAAGAAAACATATAAGGAATTTTAAAATAAATATATTAAACATAATACAAACCAAAGAAAAATAATTACCGGATTGCTTGGGAATTCTTCTAATCTATCTGAAATATCCTTCCCCTTTTTTGGTCGCATGAGTAAATATAATTTTCCAACATCAGGTATAGTTCTTAATATTTTTTCTATCAAACATAAACCGACGAAGCCGGTGCCTCCAGTTATGAAGAAATTCTTGCCGCTGTAAAACGCTCGCACTTGCGATTGTTCCGACATTTTTTATCACTATTTCAAAATAAACTTCTTTGATATCTGTAAGAAAAAGTTTTTGTTATTAAATAATGCAGTGCACATAACTAAATAAATATATCCAAAAGTCCAAAACAAACAAATATAGTCATTCATTAGGGATGCCGAAAAATATCGATATACCAATATTTTTTTAAAAATATATCGAAATTTTTGGCCGATATATTTTGATTCGATATATCGATATAAAAAATTGAATACCGAAATCGTATCAAAAACGATTTTTTCTTTCAAACTAATTCAAAGCGTTAAAGATTAAAATGAACGGAAAAAACTGTGTTATATTACTAGTATTGTCGCGGATGCAGAGTTGTATTTTGTACTATAATTATGGTATTTATAGTACAATTTGATGCTTTGTACTTTACAGTATCCATATCTTAAGTACAACATGGTGTAGAGGTGTTACATATCTTATCCTTTAAATGAGCAATTCTTGTATATATATATATATATATATATATACACATATATAATCGGAATCTCGGACTCCAGCGATTTTCATGAAATTTAGTATGTGCGTAAATTCGGGGGCGAAAAATCAATCTAGCTAGGTTTCATTTTTAGAAAATGTCTTTTTATCCCTGTTTTCAGGGAAAGAAAAATATAATTCGAATATGACGGTAAATTTCGCCGCAAGAGAAAATGTCATAATAGCTCGGTCGGTAATCGGGCGGCCCCAAAACAGACGACCGTGGTTCGCGTCACGATCATTTAGTCATTTATTTTTTTACTTTTTTTTCGATTCCAGATCATTACTTTCTGTATTTTTAATTTTTTGTCGATTTGTTTTTTTTGTTATTTTATTCCCTTTTTTTTTAAGTTCTTTCTTTTGTGAAAAACATCAGTTCACATTTTCTTATTATTAAGTCGGTAAGATCGAAAAATATTATGCATATTTCATTACTCAGTAATTTGTATCTAAATGTAATTTTCCACAATACACGATTTACCAAAAAAAAACAAACCGAGCAAAGCTCGGTCCTCCGGGTACTGTATATAAAGTGTGAAATATGTCTATAAATTGTAGCCTATGTCTTATTCTGATGTATAAGCTATATTATTGTAAAGTATCATTAAAATCCAGTCAGTAGTATATGCATGAAAGAGTAACAAACATCCATCCATACATACAAACTTTTTCCTTTAAAATATTAGTAAGGGAGAAAGTATTAGTAAGGATTCTGTTGACCTAGGCCTGTCTTTTAAGACAAGTCACTGCGGGTTTCTTTTTAGACCCATTATTAACAATTATTTACGTTTTTTTTACAAAGTTATATGTTTTTTAATTAGTTATTTTTTGATTCGATTCAAGGCTGTTGTTAAAATAAGCTGTTTGTTTTTTATAAATAACATACCAAGATATATAGATTAATCCAATAAAGATTAAAATTAATAAATAATTAACGTTTTATTAAAATTTTACATTAATTTAAATAATGTGAATTTGGTCTAATTACTATTACTTATTATTGAATCAGACTGAACCAAATACATTTTTTTTTTTCAAAACTGAAAATATGACTGATATATTGATATGTATTTTTCGATATATCGAGGCCGATATTGATATTTTTATAAATATTGATATATCAATATTTTTTTCAACTTTCAGCATTCCTAATAGTCATAACATACATTACTAGGTTTGGCCTAAAGGTCCTTGATACCGGGCCATAAAATCCAAAAAAAAAAATACATAACTAGGGTTGCCAACTGTTTTTGCGAAAAATTACGTATGACATTCTTATTTATTCATATTTCTTTTTTTCTTATTTCTTCTTTTTTCGTATTTGGATGGAAAAAAAAGTATTTACCAAAGATTTTTTTATTGCTTTCTTCTCTCGAAAGCATATTTTCGTGAGCATCTAGCATACTGACAGTTTTTCACTATCCCTAAATAGGGTATTTAAGGATAACGAAAAACTGTCTGGTTTAAAAAATAAAGTATGAAAAAAGTATAAAATAAAGTAAAGTAACAGCCTAGACATGTCCCACAGCTGGGCAAAGGCCTCCTCTATACAGAGGGTATCAGGGCATGGTACCACGCGGCCCCACTGCGGATTGGCGGTCTGCATATATCTTCGAAATATATATTTTTTTGTTATTATTTCGAAAATGTGCAGGTTTCCTCACGATATTTTCCTTCACCGCGGAGCACGTGATAAGTCAGCACTTAAAGTTATAAACGTCATTCGTGCCGGCACCAGGGATCGAACCAAGGGCGGATCCAGGGGGGGGGGGGGGGGGGGTCTATCCCCCCTGGGCTGCGGCCAGGACCTAGGTGGACCACTAATTAAAATTGTTAAACATAATGTTTTTATATATTTTTTGCCACAATATAGATTTTAAGTACCTTCAATATTAAATTAATTTAATATAATATTTTTAACCGATTTCAAAAGGAGGAGTTTCTCAATTCGATTGGTATATATTTTTTTCGATGTATGAACACTGATTACGTTGAGATTTATGATCCGATTTACGTGATTCTTCTTTAATTTGATGCAGAATAGTTGCCATTTGGTCCCATAAAAATTTAACATGGTTTGGCCAAGTAGTTTTCATTTTATGCACATTTTTACAATATTTTAATGTTTGTCATCAAATCTTGCAAATTAAATTTGATCTACTTCCCGAGCCTCATCGCGTTTGGGCTCATTTGAATCGTATTGACGAGTAGTTTGTCTTTCATTGGTAACCAGGATCGGATGATGGAGCTCCATCTTCAGCCGTCCATGGACAAATGCTTAGGGTGGTAGATGCGTTTCTCCCTTATAATAAAGTGGGCCCCGGCTACATCACTCACCAGACAAAACGCAGAAGTACTTTACGCCGGTCTTCTGTGAGGTCTATGAGGCTATTCTGTGAGGTTCCTATGACCACCTTCCAGCTGGAAGAATGAAACGACTCGATCCGATCGAGTTTCGGCTCGTTTGATTTGTCTTTGCGAGTACTTTAGTTTTAGATGGTTACCAGGGTCTGAACTGATGATTGGCTGGAAGGTTGTCATATGAACTTAGTAAAGAAACTACGCAACCCTATTGTGTTTGGGCTCGTTTGATTCGTCTAGACAGAGCTGGAATGAGGCCATAGGAACTCAGTAGTTAAGGAACACAACTGCGTCGAGTTTGATTCGTCTTAATGGGTGGACCGTTTTTGATGGGTGGTGAGCGGTGGTGGTTTAGTAGACGTGAGTATGCGACATCGAATCTTTGGAAAATAAAGTTTGTTCGTTCCGTTTGTTATGAATGTGGATTATGTCTTTAATTAGATAGATTAGATTGATGAGCGCTGAATATTATGAATGAATGAATTAATGACTGAATAAATATTTTTTTTGTTATTTATGAACATTTTTTTAACGTGAAAGATATAATTTTAGTTTGTATACGGCTATTTTAGGATTTTTCATTTGGGTTGATTATATATTATTAGTAACCCCTATCCCGACAAGTGGTCTTAGGCTACTTGTCACTGAAGTGGAGCCAGCGTGAAATTAAAAATATATGATTAAAGATATCTATGATATATATGATAAAGCGTGAAATTAAAAATATATAATTAAAAATATAACCAATACGACTATATAAAATCTGGTAACGAAGAAATAAATAAAAATTAATTTCAAAAATAAGTAAGCCTACCAATAGCTACTTAAAAAAAATACTATTTTATATAATGACAATAAAAAGCAACGAAATGTTATAGTTTACCGGATGTAATCTAGAAAAATCCTACTCTAGTTTATAGAATAACCGATTACAGACACTAAAAATAAAAAAAAAACCATTAAAAAAACGGACTTCAAAAAATAAAAGGTATAAAATAATAACGATTTAATTTAATACACCTCTCATGCAAACCTTAATACCTTTAATATTAATAAATTACGACTTCAAACCTAAGTAGCACATACAAGTACTTTATTAAGTTATTTTGTACCTTTTAGTTTTTGAAGTCGGTTTTTTAAACGTATTAATATAATAAACAATAAAAGAACCGACTTAAAATAAAATTATGTATTACAACGCTACATGCAAAACAATGCATATTTATGCGATAGAAGCAAACGCGGTTGATTTCCTGTCAGATTTCGAAGAGTTCCGTTGCTATCTCCGAAAATTATCATCAGATCTATATGAAATGTAAATGGGACCATTTCGGAATGAAACCCTTTCGAACAAAAAAAGAATTTTGCAAATCCGTCTATATACGACGAAGTTATGCCCGAATATACATAAAAAAATGTAAACATCCGAATTGATAACCTCCTTCTTTTTGAAGTCGGTTAAAAATACCTACTTTTTACTTGTATAGATACAAAAATTAAATAAAAACTTCTTATAACATGACCACGACTATGTGACCCCCCCTGGCACCAAAGCTGGATCAGCCCTTGGATCGAACGCAGGTTGCTCGAGTATATACTGCATTAAAGGTGAGCGCCCGGACACTGAGCTATCACGGCTCTAACTCTATATCTCTTATCTATAAAATAAAGTAGGAAGTAGGAACTTTATTATAAAGTATGGTTGGCAACCCTATACATAACCTTAAATAGGGATGTTCCGATACAAATAAATACTATTTATTTACTTAACACGAGTGAGTATTCGATATGGTTGTTCCGATAGTAAGTATTTTTAGCATCGAATCATTCTTATGATGTTTACTTGGAATAGAATCAAATCAGAGTGAAAGAAATGAATGATTGATTTTTGAACGCAACATAGCTTAATAGTGGCCGTTGTATTAGCCTATCAGCGAATTGCCTTGCCACTCATAATCATCATCATCATTAGCCGTAAGACGTCCACTGTTGAACATAGGCCTCCCCCTTAGAACGAGACACCGAATCACACTTTGTCATTCAATGGTTTACAATAAGACAATAATTTAGCATTCAGCAAATTTAAAGCAAAACTAACTCTAGTCAGTTTTGTGAAGTTCAATGACAATGCCAC